TGCTCGGTAACAGACTGGCAGCCAGTGGAGCTGACGTAACAGGGGAGTGGTATGCTCCCTGTATGCCGTTCCTGTTAGAAACCTGGCTGCCGCCTGTTGGACCATTTGTAGCTTCTGAACAGTCTTCAAAAGCAACCCCATGTAGAGCATGCTGCAGTAATCTATATGGGATGTAACAAGAGCTGCTCTCAAGGACTGTTTCTGAGCACAGTTTGCAAAGTGGAGGGAGGAGGGCTGTCCCAAGATAGTATTTTTTGAAAGCAGAAGTTCTGCAAAGTGGGGGCACAGTTTGAATCAGAACAAGTTTTCAGGAAACGTGTTAAAAAGAAGCAAGCAGCCAAAGGGAGGGTTTGGGAGATGCAGTACATGGAACTGCAGCCATACACTGGCAACAGCAGCAACCTCTGCTGGCTGACTGAAAAAGACACCAAGTTGGGAAGCAGGGGGTGGTAAGTGCAGAAGGAGGCCAATATAGCCTGGTCCCACTCACTTATTCCATTTGTTGCTATTGTCAGCTTCCTCTTAGATCACACCAGGAATATTGTGTCCAATTCTGGGCACCACAATTGAAGAAAGATATTGAGAAGCTGGAATGTGTCCAGAGGAGGGCGACTAAAATGATCAAGGGTCTGGAGAACAAGCCCTATGAGGAGTGGCTTAAGGAGCTGGGTATGTTTAGCCTGAAGAAGAGAAGGCTGAGAGGAGATATGATAGCCATGTATAAGTATGTGAGAGGAAGTCACAGGGAGGAGGGAGAAGCTTGTTTTCTGCTTCCCTGGAGACTAGGATGTGGAACAATGGCTTCAAACTACAAGAAAGGAGATTCCATCTGAACATGAGGAAGAACTTCCTGACTGAGAGCCGTTTAGCAGTGGAACTCTCTGCCCTGGGGTGTGGTGAAGGCTCCTTCTTTGGAAGCTTTTAAACAGAGGCTGGATGGCCATCTGTCAGGGGTGCTTTGAATGCAATATTCCTCCTTCTTGGCAGGGGGTTGGACTGGATGGCCCATAAGGTCTCTTCCAACTCTATGATTCTATGATTCTTCTGGTGAATGAGAGATCACACCATATAGCTGCTCAAGTCTTACACACTCAAGGCTGTGGCTTCCTTAAATGAATAAACCTATCTGTATATTGGTCATCCTTTTTCATATTACCTTTTCACCTTCTTTTCCAATAGCCTTTGATGTTTCCTAACATTAATATTTTTTTCCAAAGACTCATGTCATTTCTTGATGTGTCCATAGTATGATAACCTCATTTTATTCATTTTGAGCTCTTGTCATTTGGTTTCAGATCCATTTATTTATCTTTTTGGCAATCCATAGAACTATCCTCCAACATCATATTTCTAAAATGTTGATATTTGTCGTGTTGGTCTTCTTCATTTCATTTTTCACAACCATACATAGAAATGGGGATAGGATGGCGCGGTTGGTTCTAATATTTTTGCAGTTGAAGCTTGTACCAGATTCTGGCCATTGCATGCTTGATTAGGAATAGTAATGTGAATGACAAAAGAGGAAAGAGCTTGAAAACACAATTTCAATGTATCACATTAGCTACATTGTGTTGCAGTGTTGATCTGAGAGAAATTGCTGGGTCACCAAGTATGCATTATTAATAAATGGGGATCTGAATCGAAGGCCATGTCTACATTGGCTGGTAAATTCAGGGCCAGTGTGGAGCAGAAATGGTCCGGACTGACCCTGGAAGCAATCACACACAGTGTCTTGAACCAATCCAAATTGGATACAGTCTTGCTGCCCACCCTGCTGCAAAGCTATTCCAGAGATTCAAGCAAATTCCGGATTTCCCCCCAAGTTTTACTAACATGGGACAAAACTAAATTAAACCTGTTTAACTCTCAGTAACCAGAAGTAGAGAAATGTTCAGATAACAAGTAATTACTGTATTTCATTGCATAATAATTGCCATCACATAATAGTCACACCCTCCTTTTTGCGGCCCCGGTTTTGGGTTTTTTATGATTCCTCGCATAATAGTCACATCCAACTGAGGAAAGCTCCTATAGTTCCGAGGGGCAGGCACATGGGTGGGTGAAAGTACAACCAGCCTGGACACAGCATATTATTTGAGAACACAGAAATGCTGGACCACACCAACAACCACCATGTCAG